ACAGGTCTGAATTAAGCTAAGAGTGCTAAAGCATAAATATAAGGCTACAAGCAAACCCTAGTCAGAGCCCACAGTTGGTGGGCATTGGTCATGTAAGACTCCAGCAGGTAAGTATGGTTAGGGGGGCTCCCTAACAAAGGGTAAACTAAAGGTGGTCAATTAAATTTGAGTCAACATGTTGTAGGGTTTATCCTGGATTAGAAGGATGGAGTTTCTAGAGTGTTGAGGCGTCGGCTTCGTGGGAGTTCCCTTATGAATGGAAGCAGGGCCTGTAGGAGTACAAAGAGGTGTTGCAGTATAGGGATATTGAGCAGGATGAGCTAGTGTCCTGGGTTGAGCTGTTTCAGCTTCAGGCTCAGGGGTACCCAAGTGAAGCTCTTCCAGTTGGCATTGCAAGGATTCAGGTGAAGTGCTGGTATTTTGTTGCCCTCTGTAGGTGAACTGAACTGCAAATGGGAATCTCTGGGTATATTTAAGCTGGTGCTGCAGGGGAACTGGCGCTGAGGTTTCATAACACGGCATCTCGCCACTGTGTGTGTGTGGGGCCAGATCAGAAAAGACTTGGTATGTATGACCTTGGAACTGTAATATATCCTTAGAGTGGGAAGCCGAGAGGAGTTGTTCCTTTGTGTAAATGTAAACGGACTATTATGTCCCGTGGAGGGCCATCAGTGGCGCATGTTAGGGCCCTGTGGATCCTACGAACTCCAAGCATTCGATGGGGATAGATGGAGATAGTTCCTGGAAAAGAGCTGTAATAAACATTGTCAGGTCCTCAACAAACTGAGGGATTCCAAGGATTCTTGGGTTGGATCTATTTTCTGCATCTTCTAAGTGAGAGAGCAGTACTTTATTCTCCTCAGGGAGTGCCTCAAGCTCTTGATTGTGCTCATTGAAATGAAGTTCCATGTCATCTACCCGGGTTTCCAAATTGGCTGTGCATTGGCCTAAATCTCTAATCTCCCACGATAGGCGGTCAGTAATCTGCTCTATGTTTCCATGTGTTTAAGAAAGTCCCTTTGTGACATTGGATGGTATGGTAGAGGCATCATGCAGGCCAGGTGATGCGTCTATGTCACTATCCATAGACTCTGATTGGGGATGCGGCGTGCTACAGCATGGAGGCCTTTGCCACCATCTTAGATGAGGCATGGGCTAGGGCTTTTTTAATGGGTTTGGGCTTACCCTTCCCCCGGTGGCCTGTAAGAACCATCGTGCCAGGATTGCTGGTGGTCCAGAGACAGATCGTGGAGGAGTGGCGGGTGTATGAGGACTCAGACCGAGTTATTCCCCAGAAATGCTGCAGGGAGCGCAGAGCTCTATGAAGACACGTTTGCCATGGTGAACTTCGTGCATGCACTCCCCCCCCCCCCTCCCCCTCCGCCAGCTTCCAGGTTTTACTGTTAAAGCTTAATTGAACAAGCTGAAGTTAGAAGCTGATTGGCTACCATGCACAGCTACACCAGATTTTACACTCCCCAGTTTTATTAAATAAACCACTGTGGACCTAAAGCTTAACTCAAAGAAAGAGCTAAATATATAATTGAAATACATCTGTACTCAAAGCAGGGGCAGACTGACAACTCATGGGGCCCCTGGGCAATAGGGGATCATGGGGCCCATGTGTCCTTGCCCAAACTCAAAAAAGCCTATGAAAAAGGTACCAGGGGCATCTCACGGGGCCCCCTACTGACCCCGGGCCCTTGGGCAGTTTCCAAATGATCAGTCCGCTCCTGACTCAAAGCCAAACGCATAGACACAACTAAATACACAGATGAAATGCATGTGGGGGAACTGTTTACCTGCCAAAGGAGTGTATTTCTTGCCACCCAGTCTGGGGATTTACACAGCTGTCCTGTCTGGCAGTGCAGGAGGCCTGATTTTTCTCTACTGCATTTAACCAGTTCCCGTCCGGCCAATAGCAAAATGATGGCCGAGCAGGACTTTCTTTGATTCGGGTGCACGTCCTCCCGAATCGCTGCCTCACGCATGCCCGTGGGGCCACGCTGCAGTGAGATCTGTCACTGGCTGTGTCCCTTGGTTGGCGATACCATGTAATGGCAGCGACCAATCACAGCAGGTCATATGACAATTGTAAACAATGGATGGCTTCCTTTCATGCCTTCCATTGAATACAATTAGTTTTTTTTTTCATATTGTCATCAGTCAGTGTCCCTGATCACCGCCATACCACTTATGAGATGAAAAAATGTTTAATTTCTTAATTTTCTCAAAACAAATTACAACTCACCTTGCCTCTTACTAAATACCGCAGACTGTCTACTTTCCAAAAAGGGGTAATTTGGGAGATATCTGTACCTTCCTGACATTTTTAGGTCACAAGAAATGCCGTCAGTACAGCAGGACTGATCGATTTTCAGATATATACCATAGTTCATGGACTCTATAACTTTCCTACAGACTAACTAAAGTATAGTAATTTTTGTTATTTTCACCAACAAAATATAGCAGTATATATTTTGGCCTAAATTTATGAGGAACAATTATTTATTTGCAAAATTGTAACAAAAAAATAAAAAACCCAGTGGTGATTAAATACCACCAAAAGAAATTTTTAGTTGTGTGAACAAAATGATAAAAATTTAGTTTGTGTAAAGTGTTGCATGACCACACAATTGTCATTCAAACTGTGAGAGAGCTGAAAGTTGAAAATTGGCCTGGGCAGGAAGGGGGAAAAAGTGCCTGGTATTGAAGTGAAGTACCACTTACAGGTCTTCCCCCAGCCTATGAGTGGACAGTAAAAGGAGAAGCTGAATACTGATTAGCTCATCTTTCTGTCACTTTCTCCTCCTATCAGTTTGTTTCTTGGCAGCACAAGTTAACTGGACAAGTTGTCTACTACAGTGGGGATCGAAAGTTTGGGCACCCCAGATAAAAATTTGTATTAATGTGCATAAAGAAGCCAAGGAAAGATGGAAAAAGCTCCAAAAGGCATCAAATTACAGATTAGACATTCTTATAATATGTCAACAAAAGTTAGATTTTATTTCCATCATTTACACTTTCAAAATAACCAAAAACAAAAAAATGGCATCTGCAAAAGTTTGGGCACCCTGCAGAGTTAATATCTTGTACTGCCCCCTTTGGCAAGTATCACAGCTTGTAAACGCTTTTTGTAGCCAGCCAAGAGTCTTTCAATTCTTGTTTGAGGTATCTTTGCCCATTCTTCCTTACAAAAGTCTTCCAGTTCTTTGAGATTTCTGGGTTGTCTGTCACGCACTGCTCTTTTAAGGTCTATCCATAGATTTTCAATTATGTTGAGGTCAGGAGATTGTGAAGGCCATGGCAAAACCTTCAGTTTACGCCTCTTGATGTAATCCCCCGTGGATTTCGAGGTGTGTTTAGGATCATTATCCATTTGTAGAAGCCATCCTCTCTTTAACTTCAGCTTTTTCACAGATGGCATCAAGTTACCATCCAAAATTTGCTGAAATTTTATTGAATCCATTTTTCCTTCTACTTGTGAGATGTTCCCTGTGCCACTGGCTGCAACACAACCCCAAAGCATGATTGATCCAACCCCATGCTTAACAGTTGGACAGAGGTTCTTTTCATTAAATTCTGTGCCCCTTCTTCTCCAAACGTACCTTTGCTCATTCCAGCCAAAAAGTTCAATTTTAAACTCATCGGTCCACAGAACTTGTTTCCAAAATGCATCAGGCTTGTCTATATGTTCATTTGCAAAGTTGAAACGATGATTTTTGTGGTGAGGACGTAGAAGAGGTTTTCTTCTGATGACTCTTCCATGAAGACCATATTTGTACAAGTATCTCTTTATAGTGGAATAGTGTACCACAACTCCAGTGTCTGCCAGATCTTTCTGGAGGGATCGTGCAGTCAAACGTGGGTTTTGAATTGTTTTTTTCTCCCAATCCTGCGAGCTGTTCTGTCTGATATTTTTCTTGGTCTTCCAGATCTTGCTTTAACTTCCACTGTTCCTGATGACTGCCATTTCTTAATTACATTCCGAACAGAGGATATTGACATCTGAAAATGCTTTGCTATCTTCTTATAGCCTTCTCCAGCTTTGTGAGCGTCAACTATTTTCAGTTTCAGTTTTCTAGACAACTGCTGATTGTTGGGGATGATTGTTGGGGCAAGGTCAGATAAGTCTGGGCATTTAAAACCTTTGAGCTTGACATCACCAGGTCTTCCCAGACGATGATTGAGAACAATCCATGACACTGGCAGGTCTCAGCTTTGCAAAGGGGGCAGTGCATGCTGTAAATTCTGCAGGGTGCCCAAACTTTTGCAGACGCCATTTTTTTGTTTTCTGTTATTTTGAAAGTGTAAATGATGGAAATAAAATCTAACTTTTGTTGACATATTATAAGAATGTCTAATCTGTAATTTGATGCCTTTTGGAGCTTTTTCCATCTTTCCTTGGCTTCTTTATGCACATTAATACAAATTTTTATCTGGGGTGCCCAAACTTTCGATCCCCACTGTACTTCCATAACTATGAACAGATTTTTTAAATGAATATAGCTTGTCAACATTTCACATTAATTTATCTTCAAAAACGACAAAATGAGATAATATCCATGTCGTCATTTTCTCATATACAATTTAATCATGTCATGCATTTTTTAAAAAAAAATTTTTGTTAGTGAAGTTTTTTGCTTACAGTGTTGGTTCACTGAGCTATATTAGGTATTGGAGCTCTAATTAACAGGTCTGAGATGTAAAATGGCTGTAGATGGTTTTTAGATCTGTCATATGCAGTCACATTAAGACTCAATAGTCAACACAAACTTGAATCTACATATTTCATACAGGGTTATATTAGTTTATTTCTCAGATTCAACACTTCATTTTGGTTATATGAGGAATAAGTATCAAGGAGTGAACAAATGTAGCAACATAATTATACAGGCAGTAAAAAGATCATAAAGACAATATGGCTCAGATATTATAATTTATATGATGTTCACTACACAAAGGGGACAAAGCAAAAACGAAAACCATAAATAGAAAATGATAATGTAGAGAGAAAAAAAAATGTCATTCCATAAAGTATTCTAATTATGTGTTTATGCATGCCATCATAGGTGAATAAAGCAAGACTTCCATACTGGAAAATTACTCTGCTAAATGTATGCAATCTTATAAACAATCTCAATACCCAAACTGAAGAAACAGGGGACACTGGAGAAGATGATCTCTTGATGAGAAAACAGTATCCTACATCTATGGATGGATTTAATTTGGAAGCAATGCTGACCACAGTCCAGCTTCAGAAAATTTGCCAAAGCAGAGTCTTTCAACACTGGGAGGTATAGTAAAATCAGTTAATTTAGTGTGGGATAAACTAATGAATGTAGAATCTCATGTTCATGTATGGGTATGAACTTTGGAATCAGGCTAAGCATGGGTTCTACCAAAGCTCATCCATTGGCAGTTCACAGACCTAGTAAACTAATCCAGCTGTTCTTAGCTTTATAAAAAATGAAATAACCTTTTGTGCTTCACCATATCCATAAACAATTCTAAACCAGGCAAGCAGCTAGCAGTCAAAACAAATCACAAAGCCAAAAAAAAAGAAAAAATATACATTTTTCTTTATCTAGTGCTCATTTCTATAGCTGTGAAAACAAATTAGAAAAACAAGAAAAAAATATATAACTTTTTCCTTATTTAGTGCAGTGCTAGCTAAAACCTAAATATATACAAAGCACTTTAACATAATAAAACTGTAAAAATAAATTAAACAATGAGTACCGTACCAAAACATATGTATGAAAAGGAAAAAGCAGCACTATATAGTGTGCATACACTCTATACCAAAATCTGTGAAAAATAAAGGTGCTAATCCACTATTTAAATAAATAGCCACAATAATTGTGTAAACAATAAAACCAAAACATTTTTTTCAATTCAAATCTCAATAAATGTCCATTCCCTCAAATGTTCCATACAATGCTTTCAGTGATTTCATAAATTTTATAGTGATTTTGTTCCATTAATGTGCCCAAAATGTGTCCAATCGATCACCTATTTCACCACATGTGGTAATATTTAATGACTTACCAGAAGCCTATATTTATAAGCATATCAAATGATCCAATCCAAATTTGGGGAAGGCAGCCATCACCAAGGTCTTCTCCAACTCTCTCCCTTAACAATGGGATATGGCAATGTGTACACTCAAAAGAAAAAGATTGCTACTATGGTGTAGTATATTTATTAAAAGTAGAGACATACAGTAAAATAAAATCGCACTCACATATCATGTGCCACTGATGGCACTATCACAAAGGCATGGGATAAATACAAGAACACCTCTTCTGGTTGAAACCTTTCAGGGTGCATTTCTCAAGGCCTCAGGAAAAGGAAATAATGCAATGCATGGCATAAAATGCTTACATTGAAATAAAACATAAGTAAAAACTCACAAGTGATGCAATCTACAAGTACACAAACCCAATGCTCAATGTATTGCCTCTCCATTGAATAATCTAAAGAAACACAGGAGACAGTGCCTACTTGGACTAGGCAGCACTTCTGAGTTGTGTGTTATCTCCGCCCTATGTGGTATATCAAACAGACTTCATCTGCATGGACACTAATGTTTATGAAGATCTAATACACTGTATTGAGAATACTGCATGGATGCTTAATACTGATAAATATTTAATTCTTTTCACTGCCACTAATGGATTTATTAACTTTATGATTTTTTTTTTGTTTCTTGTGGGCACATTTTTTGCATGCAATTCATTTTACCAACTTTGTTATGGTAAAGGGCTTTTTATATATTTAGGTTTTAGTTAGCGCTGCACTAAATAAGGAAAACATTATACATTTTTTCTTGTTTTGCTAATTTGTGTTCACGGCTATAAAAACAAATTACCAGTAATTCACTTTATTGTCTTTGAACTGTGGTCAGGTGGCTTAGAATGGCCAATACTGCAGGATTTCTTTGTGCCACCCCTCCCTATAAAAGACCCAGCATCCTTTTGTCAGTGTGTGTTGGAGTAGAGCTGTTAGGGAGGGTTGGCACTGTGTGACTGGGAAGTTGTGCTGTAAAGTACTATATACAAAGCATCACTGTGCTTTACAAAGTGCTATATTTTGCAACATTTCTCTGAATAACAGTGTGATGGGCTACACATTAGTGTTCACAGTGCATAGACCCAGCAGTCATATTTAGGATTACCTTTTTGTGTGTGTCAGCAAGAACTTCAGCTTCTGTTTAGCTGCCTGGGCCCCTTGCAGGGTTTTTTTTTTTGTTTATTTTATTTTGTTTTGTATTAAATTTTTTTACTAAAAGTAAGCTAGGCACAAAACAGGGTTGGAATTTAGGGGTAAGTTCACTAAGAGTTAAATATTGCATTATTATTTGATTTAAAATAATCATGTAGTATTTAACTCATTCAGTTCACTAAAAATGCATGTTAAATACCCATTAGTTACTACATGTCATTTTTTTTTCTAATTTTTGTTTACATTCTGCTGTCAGCGGGAAATCCCCAGTTATATCAGATAAGTTACTGGTTGTAAAGGACATGGCGGGTTCCAGTTCTTTAGCAACCAGTTATTCACTTGTTGTTAAGGATGTGGTATTTCTACTGCCCCAGGCTACAGGCCACTGCTATCCACAGGGCCACTCAACATAGCTTAAAACTGGACCTTTGTCATACATCTGTTGCTAATAGCAACGTAGTGGTTTTCAGCCTCTGCCTGCAGCATAGCATTCATAGTAAAACTGCAGTCATTTGCATACCACATGTTTCTGCACCACAAAGCTTGGTGGGAGCAACACCTCAGTAATAACAGTAAATAGCAAAAGATCTGAACTTGTTTCCTTCTCCTTGCTATTACCTTTCCACCTCACCTTCCACTCCTCCAGTTTTTTCATCTGCATCCCCTGAAACATTAACTGCCTCAAGGGAAGGTAAGCAAATATCAGATCGGGATCTGTCAGTTTGTATCGGTAGCACTGTTGCCACTAATGGACATATCCCAATAATCTACTTGTAAACAGTCACAAACCAGTCACTTTGAAAAGTGCAACTTTAAGGCATCTTCAGACACTTCATTTAAAGGATTTATATATTTTTGATGTTGCCTTTTAAACTGCATTAAGAGACCCTCAGTGGGGTACGAAAAAATACAAAATATGTTATGAAACTGCTTTCATAACACCCTTAAACTACCCCAACTCCTATAAAAACAAACACAGGACACAACCATCTAAGTTTAGCAAATTATTAAACTTAAGTAAAAAGCATGTATGCCTTGTGTGAGTGCATGCATGCCCCTAATTTACATTTTAAAAAATTGCTACACTTAGATGGTCATGCCCACTGTTTGATCTTATCGTACTGTTTCTGGAGGATTTACCCGGTCCTTTTCTGAGGAGCTGCAACCATCCATAAGTAATTGTACTTATAATGGATTTTTAAAGGGGTCAATTCTTACATTAGAGACTTAGTTTTACACCATAACAGTGATTGTGTTTTCTTGACTACCCCAACTCCTACCTGAATCACGGCATGCTTCTCCCCACAGGCTTCTGTTGATTTGTTAATTTATTGGTGGATTCACCTTAATAGCAACATCATCCATTCACAGATCCATTCGCAGTGCACAAGTCCTATCTGCCACTGCAGCAAGAACTTGTAGTTCTCAATAGAGCACAAGTGCAGTGAAATCATCTCATTTGTAGTCCATTTTTTTTCTTCCTTCAGCTCCATAACTGAAGATCTGCACCTCCATACAGACTTTGGGCTGTAGGAGTGTGATCCACTGATCTCAGTTGCAATGCTTTGCAGGTTTCAATGAAAATACTTAGGAAATGCACAATTTTTGTTTTTGCAATATGGGCACATTTATTAATTTTTTGCAAAAGGTGGAATATGCCTTTAAAACCAAAGTACACAAAGTAGGACAACCCTCCACTGTCACCGAGGAAGAACCTGTGATGTCACTTAACAAAGCTGAAAACATCAGGTGTGGTGGAGAAGCTAGATCTGGACATCAGATATATATTTGAAACATATGCTTTGCTCTCCAGAAGGTCAGTGCCATTTTTGTCATTCTCTACTTCCTAGATTTAGATGCTTCCTCAGAAATTAAACAATTGTGTAAATGCTGGTGCCTGTGCAGATCTTGGTTCTTCACCATATACCTTCAAAGTCTTAAAAAAATTAAACTTAACCTAAAAAGATAAAAAGTGGACACAGCCAATTAGAGAATGGATCAGACAGAGAAAATGGCAAATGAATAAAACAGTGAAATGCAGGGGAAAATTAATAGTTTATTTTTTTCTTTTAATATTATTGTAAAAGCAAAATTGTGTTACAGATTAAACAAATCCAGACTTTGTGATTCCTTTTATAACAAAGAAAAAAAATCAAACAATGTTTTATTAGAAAAATGTAGAGATAAGTAACTGAGATGTACAACTGACAGCCCTTTTTGATCTTATTTATAGTGTGTAGTGTAGTGATATCATACATTAATACAGAGTGATTGATTATTTGATACCTTGCTTCGTGATGTCCAATAATCCTTACAGAAATGAATATAATAATTGCATGTGACCTGTATCTATGATTATTCCTTCACAAATTAACAATATATAATGATTTCTAATTCCCTGGGGCGTTTGCTAGCTTCTAAAAAAGGAATCATTCACTAGATATTAACTTTCTTATCTGAAGTTTGTAGTATGCAGAAGTATAAACTCCAATACTGTCACTCTTAAAGACACCATTATACAATACCAGCTTATCTAAAAGAACAATTTCATACTGGTCCAAAGCAAAATTTGTATTTATTTCAAACACCTAGTCAGAATTTACCTGTACACATTTGGATGTTTGACATGAACCCTCTTTGCTGTTGTCATACGCATCTAGAGGGGGTAAAAGTTAAAGAGCTCTTGGTTTTATACTTTTAGAGACAGTTACCCAAAACAAGTGTACAGATCAGGGAAGTAAGATAAACTCAGAAGCCCTTATTGGCATACTCAATCCAGGTAAGCAACTAATGTCAGCCAGCATTTTCTATGATTAGGTGCAGGGGCGGACTGACCATTTGGAAACTCGGGCACTGCCCGGGGTCAGTAGGGGGTCCCATGAGATGCCATTGATGCCTTTTTCATAGGCTTTTTTGAGTTTGGGCAAGGACACAGGGGCCCCATGATCCCCTATTGCCCGGGGGCCCCATGAGTTGTCAGTCCGCCCCTGATTAGGTGTTTTTGATATACAGTATGTATATGGGGCAGCCATTAATGCAATCTACATTCAAAATTTCTTCTTTTTAGTGCTAAACAATCGATTGTGCTTTACCACCTATTCTAGCTACACCTGTAGGGCCAAACTAAAGAAATCATTTGATTCTCCCATCCACACTAAACAGTCCGAGTGGAGAAATCTGAACTGCTGGCTGTTGTATTCAGATAGCTGCAGCACCAAGGGCTGTTTGAATACCTGAACAATGACTGCATCTGATTGGATGCAGACGCTGTTCGATCAACAATTTTCTACCTGGTTCCTTTGACTTTTCAATTAAGTTTGTCTAGCCAGATGGTGTCAAAAAGTTTGTCTAGCCAGACAGTAAACATGGTTCAAATTTCAGTCAATTCAGCAGGAAAAATTGTTAGCAAATAGACAAAATTATTGCAGTAGTTAATCTACAATGCATCTAATGGTTAGCCTACACATATTTACATTTAATTACAAAAAATATTCCCTCATATTCCTTCATATTCCATCTGTACTGAAATGTATTGTAATTGTACTGTCTCTCTTATATTGTAAAGCGCAGCGCAAAACTGTTGGTGCTATATAAATCCTGTATAATAATAATATGAAAGCGCAATCATGAAAAAAACATGAAAGCCACATCAAAAAATATTTTAAATCTGGACTCCAGGCATACAGCTAAATACACATATACTGTATATAAGAGCTGATTTACCAGCAAAATCATTCTTAATTTTGTCTAATAAATCCTGAGATTTACACAGCTCTGCCCCACAGATCAGCCCAGTTTGGCAAGGCAGGATGCCTTGTTTTTCTCCACTGTATTAAAGTAACTCTTGTAGGTCTTGACTCTCCTCTAGCTTCGGATTAGAAAGTAAAATGAGTAGAAAAAGGGCTGATGAGCCCATCTCTCTGTCTGTCTTCTATTTCCTCTTATCAGCATGCCCTTTGATAGCACATGAGCACTACGGCAAATCTGATTGGCTTCTCTCTCTTCCAATATGAGCTTTGTTATATAAGGAATCGCAAGAGGTCCTTTCATATTTACACTATTTCCATTGAAAAAAATAATGATGTATTATTGTATATAGAGCAGCATTAATGTATGTCTTTTATATCTGCCCAAATTTCAGCTTTAAGGTGAAACTGCTATATTGTTTAAAATATATACTCACCTACAACACTCCATACTTACTCTAAATAAACAAAGTACACCAAGTAATAAAATATGGCATGGATTATATGTTATTAAACTAAACTTTATCATAATAATGTACCGTATGTATTATTTGATAAAAGATCTCAGAACCCTGTACCAGTTATTCAAAATTTCCAAAGTTTTCAGGTCAGACAATTTTTAAATTCAACAAGCTCACACAAACTAACATTTTTTTTTTCATTTTTAGCTAATTCAACAAGATTACCTGGATTCCACCAACTCAAACAGTGAAAATGAAGATATTGTAAAGAGGAAAAGCCCCTATATTTTTAAACGACAGGCACATATAAGCAAAGCAAGAAGACCCTACATATTGAAAAGAGGCACTTATTACTAATCTATATAAATCATTAATATGTGTTCAATTTATAAGTAAATGTGATTTATGGTTATTTTCCTTACTATTAAAGCTATATTTGTGTCATAAATATATTGAAAAATGATTGTCCTTAATATACAGTAAATGTGTTTTTATTCATGTTATTCTTAAATGTGATTTTTTTAATATACATAAAGAAATATATGGACTTTTGCATTTAAAATAAATATCACTTATCTGCATGATGGTGATCCCAATAGTCAGTAAGAAGTAGAATTTGTCCTGAATAATCACTTTAAATATTCTATACCAAACAATAGTGAACTTGATGTGGTGACTAGCTGAATTATTAGCAGCAAGCTGTTTTTTTCTCAAATTTACACAGTCAGTCCACTTCCTATAGGTCCAGGATGTCATGGAAAACATCCCCTAGGAGTGCATCAGCATACGGTTCATGTTCATGGTACTACATGAGAGGAATTCACACCAGGAGGAAGAACAACGGAAAGCTGCCACTTAGGAAGAGGACTAACCTGTGATGTTACCAAACTGGTTTGAAAACTGTAGGAAAAATAGGGTAATATTTTAAAGAAAAAAAAACATTCAAGGAGGGCTTCATCGAGGAAGGGTGGGTGTTGTGGGGAAGTTGGACAAGTTATATCTGGATATATTTTGCAAGTACATGCTTTTCTACCCTGGAAGTCAGTGCCATTTTGTTCATACTTCATTCATAAATAATATCTACCTCTTAAAGTTGAATCCCAGCTCCGGAAAAAATAACAAACTATCCCATGCAATGAGGGGATGTGCCTGTACAGCAAAGGTTGCTTATTTATGCCTAAGGGAACAAAAAAAAGGAAATATGCTTATCCAATTCTATACTCCTCCACACAGCTAGATTTGTTTCCATCATTTCTTCACACTTGCGCTCCAGTGGTCTTACCTAACATCATCAAGATCTATGGCCCTGCCCCGGATGTGAGGATGCCAAGGTGCAGTCCACTCCAGGATTGAGGTTGAGCTTCTTCAGCTGGGGGAACAGAAGATCAGGTAAGTAACATGGTTTCTCCTATCCCCTGGGCAAAAAAAGCTATTAAGCCTTGCAGTACAGGGTAGCCCTCCTGCAAGGGACAATTTTTTATATCTATTTGGGGTTGGGCTTTAAATACTGGCTCAGACTTGCTACAAACTTACAATGTTGCTGTCTATTCACCCACATGTAAGAAAACCGTATTTGAAATATATTTTAAAAATATTCTTCCCAAATTTATTGACTCATATTTGAAATACTACAATTTTGGCCATATTCAATATATTTAAAAATATATATTATATATATATATATATATATATAATATATAATATAATATTATATAGGATTTATATAGCGCCAACAGTTTGCTCAGCGCTTTACAATATAAGGGGAGACGATACAGCAACAATACAGATCAATACAAGAGGGATGGGAGGGCCCTGCTCCTTCAAGCTTACAATCTAAGATGGAGGGGCTAGTGGTACAAAAGGTAATAACTGGGGGGGGGGGGGTGGACTGGTAGGAGGAATAGAAGATTTCATTATTAGCTGGGGGCAGGCTTCCCTGAAGAGATACATTTTCAGAGATCACCTAAAAGTGAGCAGAGTAGGCGATAGTTTGATAAATTGGGGTAGAGAGTTCCAGAGGATGGGGGAAGCTCTTGAGAAGTCCTGGGGGCGAGCATGGGAGGAGGAGACAAGGGAGCTAGAGAGCAGGAGGTCATTCAAGGAGCGGAGAGTACGGTTTGGATGATATTTGGAGACAAGATTGGTGCTGTAATTTGGGGCAGAGTTATAAATGGCTTTATATGTTATTGTTAATGTTTTGAATTTTATCCGTTGGGCAATGGGAAGCCAGTGGAGGGATTGGCAGAGAGGTGTGGCAGATACGGAACGATTAGTAAGGTGGATGAATCTGGCAGCAACATTCATGATAGACTGAAGAGGGGATAGCCTGCGATGAGGTAGGCCAATGAGGAGGGTGTTACAATAGTCAAGGCGAGAGATAACAAGGGAGTGAATAAGTTGCTTAGTAGTTTCCAAGGTTAAAAACAGCTGTATCATGGAGATGTTGCGGAGGTGAAGTCTACATGATTTGGACAGCGATTGGATTTGGGGTTGAAAGGACAGATGGGAGTTTAGGATTACACCTAGTACCCTAGCATGAGGGGAGGGACTGATGGTTGTATTATTGATCTTGATGGAGAAGTCAGGGGGAGGCGGAACTGGAGGGAATACTAAGAGCTCAGTTTTGGAAAGATTGAGTTTGAGGAAGTGGAGTGACATCCATGCCGATATGTCACTTAGTAAGTTAGTAATGCGAGAGAAGACTGAAGGGGTGAGGTGAAGAGTAGAAAGATAGATTTGTGTGTCATCAGCATAGAGATGGTACTTAAAGCCATTGGAGTTTATCGAGTGACCAAGGGAGGAGGTGTAGATGGAGAAGAGAAGGGGTCCAAGAACAGAATCTTGAGTGACCCCTACAGAAAGAGGGAGTGGAGAGGAGGATACCGAGTTTTAGGTAACACTGAAGGAACGCTGTGATAGGTAGGAGGAGAACCAGGAGAGAGCAGAGTCTCGCAGGCCAAGAGAGTAGAGTTTTTTTGAGAGAAGGAGGGGATGGTCAACAGTATCAAGCCGAAGAGAGGTCAAGTAGTAAGAGTATAGAGTAGTGGCCATTGGTTTTAGCAGTAAGTAGATCATTAGTGAGTTTTAGTAGGGCAGTTTCAGTGGAGTGGAGTGAGCGAAAGCCAGACTGTAAAGGGTCAAGAAGGTTGTTGTTGGTGAGGTAGGAGCTCAGGCAATTGCAGACTAAGCATTCTAAAAGTTTAGAGGTAAATGGCAGCAGGGAGATGGGTCTTAAGTTGTTCAGGTTGGTGGGGTCCAAGGAGGGCTTTTTAAGTATGGGAGTGATGTGTGCATGCTTTAGAGGGATAGAGAAGGCACCGTTAGAGAGGGAAAGATTGAAGATGTGAGTGAGGGAGCATAGGATAGAAGAAGAGGGTGACTGTAGTAGTTGTGAGGGGACAGGATCCAGGGGGCAGGTGGTGAGACGGGCTTCTCAAAATATTTTAGTGATGTTTTAATGACCTCTTCAGTAGTAGCAAGGTCAAAAGAGGAAAGTGTTGAGGGAGGTTTAGTATAAGGTATGCCAAGTGGGATGGATGTCTGTGCAGTAGAGATGCCCCTATGAATTGCATCAATCTTATTTTTGAAATGATTTGCAATCTCGTAAGCAGTGAGTGAGGTAATGGGTGGAGGTGGAGAAAGTAGAGAGTTAAAATTAGAGAAGAGATGGCGAGAACTGGATGACAAGCTATTGATGTGAGTGACAAAGTAGGTTTTTTTGGCAACATGGAGGGAGGAATTGTATGTTAAGAAAGCAGATTTATATAGGGTGAAAGCTTGGTGTGATTTGGTTTTACGCCACATTCGCTCCAGCACACGACTATGTCTCTTAAGATTTCTAGTGTCGTCAGTCTGCCAAGGTTGTAATGGTCGGGGCCTGATGCTTTGTATGGTTAGAGGAGCAAGCGAGTCTAATGTGGATGAAAGTGAAATGTTGTAGACAGCAATGGCCAGGTCAGGGCAGGACAGGGGAGAGATTCTGTCATAGAGGTGGTCAGTTGCAGAGTAGAAAAGAGAAGGGTTAAAGTTGTGAAGGTTTCTGTGGGTAATTATTTGCTTCTTGGAGGGATAAGCGTTTGAAGATGAGGAGACTGTGAAGGTGATGATATTGTGATCAGAGAGAGAAAAATGGGGTGTATATATAGATATATATACTGTATGTTGAAATGCGTTTTTATTACAAAATATATGAAAAATATTTTTAAAAATCAATTTTTAAATATACTGTATGTTTTTAAAACTACAAATGTACATTTTTGGAATGCATTTCCAAATATATGTAAAAATATGTTAAAATTACTTTTTTATATGTTAAAAAAAATCTGCTATATTTAAAAAAATATATTTAAAAAATATTTTTAATATATTTTATAATATATAAAAAAAACGCATTTCAACATGCAGTATATATATTTTTTTTGAAATATATTGAATATGGCCAAAATTGTAGTATTTCAAATATGTCAATATATTTGGGAAGAATATTTTAAAAATATATTTCAAAAATATTTTTCTTCCATATGGGCAATAGTGAAGAGGGTGATGCTTTCTCCTGTCTGCAGCAGACTAATGGCATAATGTAATCTAGGCAAAGTCATTGGATATCATGAACTGCTTGACCAAAGCTACTGTTGTATATGAATAAAAAAGAGGGATAGGTGCAGCGCTTGAATCAGAATACAAAAGGAATGCTCTATAAGGTATATATGCATATAAATGTCAATGATCAAAAAAATAGTAAAATAGATACAAATGTGATACAATGGTAAACTGTGCGCTAATCAGTGGGAAATGTTAAAGCACACGTAAAGTCCTCATCCCAAATCAGTGGTTATAAGAGAGGTGAAAAAATCCTAAGAGCGGATAGAGTGCGCACTCACCAGAAGTGCGTATAAATAACGCATGTAGAGAAGTATAATCTGCAAAATATCTCCGGCATCAAAGCTCTGGTCAGATCGCACTCCACACCATCCTCTGTCTCACCACCGCGAAGAGCAGTAACCAGGATTCATCAAACAGTATGGGCGTCAAAGGTACTCCTTAGTCCAGATAGGCATAGGTTGCTTTGTCTTTCACTGTTTCTTTGTTTCTACCCTTTCAACTTGTAATAAGTAGGATCAGTGGGGTCTATTGACTAAAGCTGGTTCACTCAAAATCTCCTGCACTTCTGCCAAAAAAGTGAGAAGCAGAAGTGCAGGAGATTTTGAGTGAATAATAACTTCTCTACATGCGTTATTTATACGCACTTCTGGTGAGTGCGCACTCTATCCGCTCTTAGGATTTTTTCACCTCTCTTGTAACCACTGATTTGGGATGAGGACTTTACGTGTGCTTTAACATTTCCCACTGATTAGCGC